CCGCCATGAAATAGCTTGGCATGCCCCCAATTTCCCCGGTTTGGAACATGGTCGGAGATTTTTTTTTTTCTCCGGCCGGTCAAGGTACTTGAAATTAAGAATGAAATCGAGAAGAAATTCAGTGAGAAATAAAAGGGTCGGAGCTTATAAAGATGGGTAGAGTCGTGCTATTTGGCAAGAAAATGTACACTACTTGGAGTACACGTGTCAATTTTTGGGTGGTGTTGGATGGTGATCGAATAAGGTAAGGTTGTAGGTGATGGCGGGGGAGTACAAAAGGAAAAAAGAAATGCTATAGGGGGCCCTCTGTAGGATATCCTAGGAAAAAGAGGAGAACATCATGTGTATTATTAGTTTTGTCTATCAATGCAGTCACTATCAGTTATTTATTGGTGTCTTTCTATACAGTCACAATGATATTGATAATTAATAGTGACTCCATTAATATATTAGCAAATAAGAAAAATGATTTAAGGACCCAAAATATGGGACCAAGGGAGGGGACAGGTGAGGTGTCTCCTCCCTATTGCATAATGAGTTGGCATGGCCAACTCATTATACAATAGGGAGGGGACACCTCACATGTCCCCTCCCTTGGTCCCATATTTTGGGTCCCCGTAGCAACACTCAGCAAATAATGTCAAATCTCCCTCTACTTCTTTGGGTCCCCGTAGCAACACTCAGCAAATAATGTCAAATCTCCCTCTACTTCTTCATGTACGAGAAGACCTTGGTCCCATATTTTGGGTCCCCGTAGCAACACTCAGCAAATAATGTCAAATCTCCCTCTACTTCTTCATGTACGAGAAGACCCTTCAAGAATATACTGGAAATGGGAAAAAAAATGCTATTGTTGTAGGTTCAGTGGTGCTACAAAAATACGTGCACCCTAAGAATGTCTTGCTTCCAGTGGTAGCTGAGATTGGGGGTAGGACCACTAGTAAAAGTATATTATTTAGGTGAGAGAGAAGTTAGGGCACCCATTTTTTGGTGCACCCAAACTCAAAATAGTAGCTAGGTTATGATTTGGATGGTCCATATGTTTTGGTAAAGATTGATATTTTTTTTTAAGTATCTTTTGGTATATTAATCATGATGTATGTGGATTATGCAATAATGGAGTCCAATCAATCTGATATTGTGTTTGACCTAGATCTTTTGTTCAGATCTTTCTACTGAATTACTGTAAGAAAGAGACTTTTTTAGGTCAGTACGTATGAAGTCTCATTATGCAACAATTTGAACTCATAATGCCCATAAAAAATATAGCACATGATTTCTTGTATACAACTTATTTGCCAGGATTTTCTCACAGACTTCAAAAGGGATTGAACAGCTAGTAAATGAGATTAAGATGGACATTTTGATCCCAGTCCTAAATAGTCCTATTCAATCTGAAAACAGTGATTGGATTAATTCTTTGTAGATATTGATTTGTTTTGTGGGGTTATCCCTAGGCTGTAAGTGTTTTCACTGTTTTTAGATTTCTCAATTATGAGAATCTAGATGTACATAACTCTCTTTTTGGTTTGAATGAAATAAAATTCTCATTGACCAAAAAAAAAACTTATTTGCAGTATAGGAGGACAGCAAAGATAAATAGTTATAGAAACTTTTTTGCTCTTTAATTAGAGTCAATAAGGTCTCACGTATATTAGCTTAATCAATTTTACTTAATTATGAGCTTTTGAAGCCCATAGTACATTTACTATGTATATAGATGTATAGCAAAAGAATATATAAAATGAGACACAGTTTTCTTTCTCTAGAAAGGCTGTTATCTTGAGACTTGGGAGTGCATGTAGATGTATAGCTAAAGAATATTTGGAGTTGCCACCTTCATGCAAATGCTTAAATAATATTCTGTCTGAAATCTTGAGACTTGGGAGTGCATGTAGATATATAGCTAAAGAATATTTGGAGTTGCCACCTTCAAGCAAATGCTTAAATATTCTCTCTGAAATCCAAGTAAGAAACTTGAAGAGTTGTAGAACAGTTTACAAGTTTAAAATTATCTGACAGGTAAAAGAGAATTTTTATGTCCATATATAAAGGAGTGCCCATGACCATCTAAAGTAGAAGAATTATAACTTGGAAAGAAGGAAAAAGGATTAAACAAAGTTAACGCTCAGCAGTTTTTTTGGAAACACTAGTTTACATTAGTTTAGGTGTTCAAAACTAAAAAAAAAAGAGTTAATTGCGAACAGACCCCAAGCAATTCTACTCGTGCTGATAGACACCCTATAGTATTGGCCCAAGTTCAAATTCACCCTCTTAGTGAAAATTTTCGACTTTTTCACGAGTAAAAAAATTGCAGTTGGGGATCTATCATCATTAATAGAAGTGAAGAGGTATAAGCATTTTTCACTATTTGAAGAGTTAAAAAAATTCAATCAGGGGGTCAATATATCCTCACAAATAGAACTATACAGGGACATATTTGCAATTGGGCGATTCTATATAAGGGAATGTACTGTGTATACACAATTAACCCATAAAAAAACACTAAGACAAAGACATACATGTCAGATAATAGTCATGGTAAAGCTAGAAAAGTAAAGAGGGGGTTTATTAGAGAAAGTGGCTTTAAAAGGAGAAGTTCTTGCTCTGAGAACATTGTCCCTTGTTGGAGGTACATGCCAGAAAGAGATGAAGAATCCCACAAAACCATGTAAAAAGGTAGAGACTTGAGAAGTTGAGAGACACGCGTTACATACTCCAAAGAAAATTATTCCTTAATTAAGAATAATTAGGAATCTTAATTTTTTTATCTTATGACAAATAGCATGATTAGAATTTGAACTTACATGAATGGCAAAGATTTCTATATTATTAACTACTAAGTCTCTGCCCAAACCACAAATAATAACAATAACCTTCAGCTTGTGAGATGAAGCAAATATTTGTTCCTACCGAAGTTATAGTTGATGAAGAGCAAAATGAAAAAAGAATATATATATATATATATATATATAATATATATATATATATATATATATATATATATACTATATATATGATATTATATATATATATATATATATATATTATGATAATATAATTAAAGAGAAAGAAAGAAAGAAAAACAAAGAAATCAAAATACTCTTGTATAATCCTTTTGACTTTATTCAGAAAATCAAAAAAAAAAATTAAACTGTGGCGCGCGCGCGCGCGCATTATATATATATATATTATATATATATATATTATATATATTATATATATAATATATATATATATGATAATATATAATATATATATATATATATATATATATATACGATATATAACATACTCTTTTTAAAAGTGGGAATATAGAAAAAACTTTCATTACACAATATTGTCCTTGATTTTTTTAAATATCGTATTATGATCATACCCTAATTAATAGAATCCTTTAAATAGATCTATAATACATTATTTGTGATCCTAACCTAATTAATAGAAATATCTTTAATAAATTCTTAGCAATCCAAAAGTTATAACCAATGTTCTTAAAAACCTAAAATTATACAAAGCACCCTTAAATTAGAAAACTATAAACAACCCCTTAGGAATTAAAATTTTGAAAAGAACCCTTAAATTTTTGAAAATTACAAACAACCTCTCATAGAGCAACAAATTACAAATCATCATTTAAAAATTCTAAAGATTACAAATATCAGGTCCCTGAAAAGACCAAAAGCTACAAAGGCACCCAAAGAAATCTAAAAATTACAAAAAGATCCTAAAAATCTAAAAAAATTTAATAAATATTTTTTTAACAATCTCATGAATGATATGAAATTACAAGTAGAACCCTAAATTTTAAAAATTACAAACAACCTTCTCACCAAAATTTCAATAATTATAAAAAACACCCTTAAAATATGAAAAATTTGAAGACTCCCGTAAATAACTCGAAATTATAGACAACGCTCTGAAGATTACAAAGTTATGAATAACCACCATGAAAAAGCTTAATTTTATAAAAAAAACACCTTAGGAAAATCTACGAATTAAAAAATAACTCGAAAATCAGAATTTTAACAATTCTATGAACAATCTTTAATTACATATAACATCCCAAAAATTTTAAATTTGCAGACTTTCAAAGATCTAAAGTTATAGAAAACACTTAAAAAAAGCAACAAAGTAAAGAACTCCCTGAAAATTTAAAACTTTGTTCGGCCCTTTGAACAATCTGAAACTACCACCAAATATTTAAATTTTACAAATAACCTCCAAAAAGTCTTTAATTAAAAATATAAAAACTATGGTTGTCTAATAAATTCTTATGAAATATTTTGTCAAATACTTCTAACTAAAAATTTAACTTTTATCAAATACTTTTGAACATATGCATAATGTTGAATTTTATCAACTGTTGAGTTATGGTTATCTAACAATTTGTTTATGAAAGATTTGGGTGAGACATCTAAAATTTGGGACTTACAAACTCTATAGAGATAGAGCTAACAAGTTAGTCTATTTATATTAATAAGATAGTGTCTAAGTTTAACTTGCAAGATTCAAAGTAGAGACTCATTCCTTTTGGACAAGGAGTCACTCTTTCTAAGAAAATATCACCTCATACAGATATGGAGTTAGAAAGATGTTGGAATTGGGGTGCAGATCAAACCTCGATTCAGGCAAGAAGCTCCGCCGAGATTAAGATCTACGCAGGCGAGCATGGGCGTCAACTCAGGCGAGGTGAGCTCCAATTGGCGAGCTCGAGATCTTCGCAGGTGCAGGCGAGCTCGGGGTTGACATCAGGCGAGCTCGAGTCCTTGCAGGCGAGTTGGGGGTGTTGCAGGTGAGCTCGAGATCCCCTTTTTTGCAGGCGAGCTTCTGTCAGGCGAGAATCACTCAGGCGAGCTCGAGCGCTCGTGACAGGCGAGCTTGTGGCGGAAATCCATCCTGTCGACAGCTCAGCTAGGGTTTCCTTATAAAAGGGAAACCCCTGGGTGCGGATCAGTAGCAAGGGAAGAGAGAATT